TTGTGATGAGTACAAAATAATAACAGCTCCCTTTACCCACTCCCTTAAATTTTGGGTGAGCTGAGTAAAAGATGGAAAGAAATTCACAAGCCTATGTGAAATTTTCTTTGGACCAATGAAAACCTTGTTTACACAGGAATTATCCATTGAGCCTAGAAAAAGAAAATAGCAAGCCTATATGTAATTCTCTTTGATATAAAATAAGCAACAAATTAAATCAATGCGAGAAGAAAGTCTGAAGTCATGTGAAAAGTTTTGTTTCTATTCATGCAGCTAGTGTTCAGATTTTCACCACTGTCAAATTACTCACTAATTATATTATTGGTCTTAATGAAGCACTTGGGCACTTCAAAGAACTTTATTGCAACAATCCAAGAAAGCTAAGTATGTCAAACTATCTCTCTTTGCTTTTGAATGTATGCAAACCATACATTCCTTGTGTGAACAATGAACTCACTTACCTTTATCTTAACATTTTTTTAATATTATTTTGTGTCAGACGATTTAATCTGTTGGATGAAAATTTCCTTTTCATGACAATTTATTGAAACTACGAAATTTAAAAATTTGACATATTTTCCTGAAAAAAAATACTGACACAACTTCAAGCGTGTAAATTCATAAATAAATTCCTTGTTTTGTTAAAGATAACCCATGTGTTTCCTCGTCATTATTCTCCACAATTAACCTTCTTGGCATGGGTAAAACAACCGTTCATTTTAATCCTGAAGTCCCATGCCACTATAAACTCACAAAAGTCATCTAGACATGGCCAGTAGAATAAGAAGTCTATTCTAACTATTGTTTTAACATAGTTTTAAGTTAATATCCGCTTTGATTTGATTTCCTGTGTCCAGTGACAAGATTTGTGGATTTGTAATAGAATTGCATATCAATCACAATATCTCCAAATATATTAGAATTCATCACTCTGGAGGAAATTTGAGATATTTTATCTATATTAATATAAAATTCTGTGAACTTTGTTTGCTTGTGTGTTTGCCAAAAGTCATATATAGAGAGTGGGTAAAGAAAGATGTAAATTTATTATTGTGTATGAAGTTGGGAGAGAAGGAAATGGAGAACACACAAAATCCGGCCTCAGACAGGATATGCACAGCTGTCATCAAGGTCCATGCCACTACCACCAAATTATCATGTTGACATAATGAAAGACATACCACATGGCTTATTTTGGCCAATTAGAAAGTAAATAAATAATTTTATTTTGGAACCAATTTTCTTATGAGAAAGTGTATAAAACACACAAAACCCAGCCCCAAACAGGATATGCAAAGCTGTCATCAAGGTCCATGCCACTCTTGCTTGTGAACTTCATGACCTTATGCTAAAAGCGACAGCAATGACAAACTTCAAAGAGACCGCTTCAGAATATGGCAACACTGTGCACAATAAGAAACAAATTCTATCTCATTTCATTTTAAAAATACAGTAAGTATTTTTATTTCAACTTTTTTCAAACAGACAATTTTTTTTAATGTTGAAAGCAACTTCAATGTTTTATAATCTGAACCTTGAGTGACTCAATGGGTCATGGGTAGTATACTTTAAATGAGCAAAAAATATTGTAAATAAAAGTTTTTTTTTGTAAATAATTATAAAGTTTAATAAAATGTATTTTTAAGATATCTCTACTTTCACAAACTCTTCATGAAACTAAATGTAATCAGTAAACCCCACAAGGTTGACCCAACAGGTCACGGGTGGTCTAGTGATAAATTAAAAACCATTTATATGGATGCATTCTTTGAAATAACACGACAAATTAGAAAAAAAAAATATTGGATGAGGGTCAAATAAATTTTACCTAATTCAATAAGGGACTCTCTTAATAACTTTAGGGATTATAATCAAAATTAAGAAAAGAATTTTTGGATTTATATTTATAAGCTTTATCCATGTGTTGATCTTGTCAACTGAATGAGAAAGAGTTTGCCTGCCTTGAAACTGCATTTTAATTCTTTTTTCTTAACTAGGTTTGAACAACGACTTGTGATGTTAATTGGTAATGTGCAACACTCTCAGATACATGGTAGGCTATAATTATTTATAAAAATTAAATTTGTCTGACACAAAGCCACAATAGTAAAACACCAAGTGAGACTCAAACCTACTACATGAACAAATTGATTTCTAAGTTATTTAGTGGGGTTTTCCCAAGGCAGATGTCTTCTTCACCTCCATTTGATTTAACAACGTTTCAGGATGAGTGCTATCCAGTCCATACAAGAATATATCTATAAGACCATTGACCAATACATTATTATCTGAATTTTTTTGTTCTATAATAGCCAATCTAAATATTTGTGTAAAATAAATGCCTTTTTACTATTAGACTGAAGACTTAATTGATTTATCTATGTATAGGTAGATCTCTTTTTATCATTTTAGAAAATCTTTTTTGCTTTCCATCAGCATGGCTGATGTTAACCTCCAGGACCTTCTTTGGCTAAAGTTTTCTGCTGATATGAAGTGGAAAGATTATATTGAATCAATTGTGTAATGAAGGTTGTGCTGAACAGACATGTTTCTAGTTCATTTCATATTAATGCAAGGCTTCCTCAGGGCTCTATCCTTGGGTCTATGCTGTTTCTGATCTTCATTAATGACCTTCCTGATGTCACCAGTTTTCAACTAAGTATTTATACAGATGATACAACTATTTACTCCTGTCTTAGTAGCAATTCTGACAGATCTGACAAAGCAAAACTAGCAACTGCTCTTGAAAAGGACCTCCAATCAATGGTTAACTGGGGCAAGGAATGGCTTGTAAATTTTAACATATCCAAAACAAAACTGCTTTCATTTAATCACCACAGAACTTTTTCTGCCTATCAGCAGCATAACTGATGCTAAACTCACAGAGAGCAACACTTTGTTCTTTCTTGAGCTCACTTTTCTACTGACATGTAGTGAATTGATTTATATTGAATCAATTGCTAGGTCTACTGCTAGGAACGTTGGTGCACTGTTTAGTGCTCGACAAATTTTCTAGTCAGAATCCTTCTTGTACATTTATAAATGTACCATTCCTCCATGCATTCCATAAATGTATGGTGTTTCTGCTATATATCCTGAGATTCTTGACAAAATTCAAAGAGTGTGTAATGTAATTGATGATGACTTGGCATCTAAACTTCAGTCTTAGATTAGCAACTAGGTCTCACTGTTTTATTGTTGAACTAGCTAGATGTAACTGTATGTTCTATTCTAATAATTTATTTTCTTGCACTTCTTGTCTGTGGAACTTCTGATCTCTTGCTTCCCTGTCACCTACAATCTTCAAAAATTAAAATGCAACATCAATCGCCATCTTCTGTTATTCATTCCAATCGGATTTGGAATGTTTACAAAATGCTTTCCTTTCCCAATTTATAGATAGAAGCACACAAATGCATGCTGGGATTTCTTCCTAGCCTATTCTGTCTTGTCTTGAAGTCTGAACACTGTTAGTTTATCTAAATTCATTCTTGTGTATCAACCCCAGTTCTTCTTACTTTGTGAACCTTTTGCCATATTACTGTTGCTTTGTCTTATTACTTGATTTGCTTTGCATATATTGTTTGCTTGCTTTATATTATTTTTCTGTCTTGTTCTTTTCTTTTCCTTATTATTGTTTATTGCAAACTTTGTCAATTCTGTTTGTTGGGTAGTTCTGTCTTGTTTTTTTTTTTTTCATTTAACCATGACCACTCTCTCTACATTAATAATCAACTTTTTTTTTTCTTTTTTCTTTTTTTTTACACTTTTTAAATTTGTCAAATCTTTCTCTAAGTCTGTCTTCTGGTGGGCAAAGATGATCTCAACCATATTTCTCAAAGCCTTGACTTGCTTCAAAAACATATTATGGTTTTCAGACCTGTCATCACTGCATCAAAACCTTTTGAAACCAACCACTGAATCGTCCTTTCAGTAGCAGATTGTTTGTTACACCAATGTTTAAATACTCTGGATTCCTGTACAAATAAAAATAAAAGTTCCTCATTTTCATAAGTTATTTTGAGCTTAGTGACATAAAGTAGTCAAAAATAAGGTACTCTAGGTACCCTGCTAGTTTTCTGGTACCCTTGATTCCAGACCTGTACCTGAGATTCAAGTTATTGAATCAGTTGAGGCCAATAATTCTATAATACACTGACCGACTAATTATATCCACTTCATATCTTTAAAAATGTTAGAAAATGAATCCTTTATTAAGTGCCTTGACAGGCTTGCCAGAATTTATAACATTTGATGAAAAGTGAATGATACTTGGCCATCATAGAGTGTAATGTTCTTTGGTCTTGGAGGTGAATAAGGAATATACAACTTGGTCGTAAGTTGTATATGTATCATTGTTACACAGCAGTTCAGTTCCAGATTCAGCTGAACAGTTGTCAAGAAGAATTTTGTTGTCTTCTAGTTAACTTACAGATGAGTAGTGGGATTGTAATATTGTCAAGACTGAAATAGGTACCAGACTAAAAGCTACCAGAAAAATCAATGGTCTTCCTGTACACCATTGTTATATAATTTTTATTTATAGTCTATCGTTCATAAAGCAGATAAATTGTTGATTTTGATGTCATTTAATTGACTTGATATTAATATTGTCTGTAAAAAAAAAAAAAAGATTGTATCATTTAGTTTTACTAAAGATGCTTGCAATTATTTATTTTCCATACAGTTTTGTCTAATCCACTTGATTCTTTTATAAAAAACTTTGTCGATCTCCTTTTTTTTATTAACCTCAATTAAATTTTAGTTGCTAAGTACAGTTTGATTACTATCACTTGTTGATTAAACCTAATCATTCTCATTTCAAAGACATAATTTCATCTGAATAAATTGTTTAGCAAAGGGGACCTTCAAACTAAAAAAAAATTGGAGCTAGAGATTTTACAAGGCAAAATTTTTGTCATTGAACAGGTGTTTTGCGAAGAAAACAATCTGTTTAAAATGCTTTCACTTCATTAACATTTCTGTGTTTGTTGTTTTAGGTTTACAGAACAAGATGTGATTCTTGTGGAACCAGGACCTTGCAACATTGCCTTTATAAATGGAACTCTTACACAGGAGAAATTCTTGAATCAGTGAGTTTGGGTTTGTAAATTACATGTGTTTATTGACTGACATCTTTACAAAGGATCAATGCTAATCACTTTTTTGATTGTTTTGTGTAACTATTAGTAAGCATAATTGGTTAAGCTGTTTTTTTTTTTAATAAAAAAAAAAAAAGTGAATGTATAGTGATGGAAAAAAAAAAAAAATAAACAAATTATAACAAGGAGACCAGAATTTCACCATCACTAAAAAATAGATGTTCATTAAGAATCGCTAGGCCATGAAGTCATTTTTTAACTAACCAATCAGAAACCATCCTGACCAGGATATGGACATCCTTATCTAGTGATCAAATAAGAAACAAAAGTTGCCCTCAAACATGATATAAGGTCATTAATCATGAGCCAATGAAAAGCGAAGTGGCACTTTGGAAGCAGACATCTCTCTCTCTCTCTTTATATATATATATATATATAATATTTTACATTGCTACAAAAACTTTCCATGTTTCAGAACTTTAAAAACTGTCACTCATCAGGTGATGGTAGATAACTTATGATGAAAAATGATTTACTTGGGAAATCAGAAAACAATTCGGTAGCTTGTTGGGACTTAAAAAGGAGTGGGAGAAAACCAAACATCCAAAATTAAAAAAAAAACATATGTGGGCAAGACTTGATTAACCAATCAAAAGACGGATCAAAGCTAAAATAGAAAAATGGAAAATATGGTCAGGAGTTGGAGGTAGGTAGGTTATTTCCTCATGTCTAGATAAATTGACACTTTAGACATATTCACTGTAGATATACTGTTGCAAAACTGACATCAAGATACAATGAAGTAGACATAGAATTATATTTTACAAAAAGTTATTTATAAGGAATTACAAAATGTTTTTATACTTACGAACCTTCTTAAAGGGGCCGCTAAATTAAAACATTTTTTATATATATTGAACCTTAAATACAATACATATTATATTGAATGGACAATAAAACATTGCAATATTAAAGTTGAAAAATCAAAGAATTAAATACGTGGATCATTATATATTAATAAAATAATGGATATGTAATTGTAATGCATAGATTTTTTATGAAAAATTCTTTTAACTATATTTTAAAGTAAATATTATACAATGCCTACAAATTACTGTTAATTCATTTCTCTGATTTAGGAGAACTTTATTTTTAGGAAACTTTATAATATGTAGTTTTTCATGTAAACATAGGGGACATGGGTTGTTTAAAGATTTACAAATTCTCTTTTTTTCTTTTCTTTTTTTTTTAATATTTTCCATTTTATGCTAGGGGTTTTATTAATTTCTTTTAAATGCCAAAAATATTTAGAAAGGGATGTTCAATTACAGTACGCATTGTTGTTAAAAGAAGATATATGCTGATATCACCTCTGTTTAAAGGGTTTTTTAGTATTACCAATATAAAATTTCTTAACAGTTGGGTTTTCAGTAGATGAAATGGTGCATTGGTAAACAATTCATTCAATAAGACATTTATTTTGCAATGGACAAATATTAGGATTTCTGCAATTACACAATTTATTATCATTATTATAATATCAGAGCATTTATAGCCACTATTTTTTTTAAGGCATTATAAAAATTGCAGTGTTTATAAAATTGTATCTTCGTTGGTAGAGTTATTACTAATTCTGTGTTTTTTGGAGGAGGGTATGTGTTTGATTATAGATGGAGGGTGATTAGAGTTTGGGTGGATATATAATGGATTAGTATTTTTTTTCATGTATAGTTGGTATATATTGTTGACTAAGCCTAGTGTTACATTGAGGAAGTTTACCTTTTTTAAATTTGTGTTGATTGTAATTTTTAGGTTTAGGCTTTTAAACACTCTATGTATTAATTTTCTAATTTTGTCAATTTTGAAATTAGTAGAATTCCTCACAACTATAAGGCCATCATCCCTATATAACCCTATATACTGATGTCATGGTGGGCAGTAAGGTTGTATAAAATGAACAATCCAACAAGGTCAGAAGACTCAGCAGAGTCTAACCATCCTATCGTAATGTCGAATTGGTCACTAGAATTATTTTTTATCCCTTGTTGTCGATAAGGAAAGATTTTTTTTGCGTTCATAATAATATTCAGTTCATCCTTTGATAGATCAGAATACACTGTAGCAAATTCAAAAACAAATTTAAAATGTTCCTTAGAAATGGATGGGTAGTATTCCTTGACATCAAATTGGATTAAAGAGCAATTGGTTTTATCTTTTATATTACAAAACCAATTGCTGACATCAGTGATGTTGATCCATTGTGTTAGTCTAAGTTGCTCCTTAATTTGCTTGTTGACCCTTTCTAGGATAATTTTACTAGTTTTACCAATTTCAGGCCTAGTAGGGTTTATGATCCTGGTGGTAGGATTAGTTTCAAAGTCCGGTTTATAGTCCTTGATGTTTATGTAAGATTCCTTTGTACATAGTTTACTAACTCTGTATCACTAATTTTTTAGTCTGTCTGTGATATTTTTACTAGTTTCATTAATACTGTCTACCAAATTAACTAAGTTATTATTTACTTTTCTATAGTTTTTAGTTAATTTTTTTCTAATTAGAGTATTACAATCCTTAGCAGTGATTTTATAGAAATTTCCAGTTTTGTCTGATTTTACAAACATTTTTTCAGATGAATTAATATCCATTACAACATGGACAAGGTGTTTCTGGAATGATCTTTTTGTTTGTAAAAGGAGTTATTGTTAACTATATCCAACAAATCATTCTCAAGACCAAACAACCTTTCAATAAATGGTGAAGCTTTTTATGCTTTTAAAACCATAATCTTCAGTTTCCTTGGAAAAGTTATGGAGGAAGAAATAAGCCTTTAAATCCTCCGTTTTTTGAACCAGTTTAACAAAATAATCCCGTTTGTTTGTGTTGAGAATGTTTTAGAGAGAGATTTCAAAATTTGTTTTTTCCATATTCCTTTAAAAAATAAATGTAGACAATTCTCTACCACAGTGGGACCAAAATATCCAAATAAAGAGAAAGAAAAGACAAATTAAGAATCCACATTTCTTAGCATTTACTTTCTTTTTTTTAAAAAAATATATATATATTGCTCAATACAATGTAGAGCTATATATATATATATATATATATATATATATATATATATATATATATATATATATATAGGTAACTATACTCATCTCGAAGGAAAAAAGGTTTTAAAAAAGAAAGAGCCAGGAACTTGAAAGTCTGTTGAAAAACTCGCACAGATACAGGTTCAAAGCCCAAAGAAAAAAACCCCGACAACTAACTAAAAAGAGCTCAATACAATCGTAGAGCAGACCTAGTCAAACCAAGTGAGCTTTCCCTGATGATCCGCTTAGGTGAAACCTGGGTAGGTTTGTCTGGCTCACTTGGTTTGCTATATATATATATATATATATATATATATATAAAGATAATCCTAAGGAACCAGGCAAACCTACCTAGATTTCACCTAAATGGATCATCAAGGTGATGCTGGCTGAAAAGGAAAATTAAGGAACAGAATTTATAGCTAAAACCAAAAATAACCATGACCACGTAACAAAAAAAAAATTAGATAAAGCCAAACAATGATGGAGATTATATATATATATATATATATATATATATATATATATATATATATATATATATATATATATATATATAAACAAGATGGAAAATCAACCTAAATCAGAATAGATGTATTAATTTTAAGCATTCTCCAATGATGTGGTCATCCAAACATACCAGAGATGAAATATGATACATGCATAACCCACAAAATCCTGCATAGATGCATTTGATACCTACCTTCAACTACCAAATTTTAAGCAGGCAGTTGCTAGATTTGAATACAAATTTTAAACTAAAAAAATCCCTCAATTTTTAAACAATCTAATACAAACTTCACTCAATTGTAGCCATCAATAAGTAATTTAACTTGACAATTGACTCCACCCATATAGTGAAAACCCGCGTAAATAGCGAAAAATGGCGATTTTTACTAGCTTATTTTTTTGTTGATCTTTCAACCATTTTTCACCAAGCTTAACAATTACTTTATAAAAGTATCCTCTTTTACATCCCTGGTATCACACTGACAAACTGATATTCAAAAACTCCAAAATAATTGTAGTCTGAAGTGGGTCTTCATGTTGCCTGTTTTACCCCTTCATGTCCTCGGCTAACTTTGATTAAATAAATACAAACTGCTTCTATTATATCAGTAACTGCATTAATTCCAATTGTTTTTTAATGAAAGTATTTTAAAGTAATTGAACAAGACAGACTCTGTTACATCTAAACATGATGCTGTTTTTGCTCCATTCTAATTGAATGCTTTATCAGATTGAGCAGATAGGTATGGCTGCTAGTGTGTGTGTGTATAAAACAGTGTATCACGCTTTATTGCAGGCTACATTTTTGCTTATATTTTGAATATTAAACATTAAAAATTAGTCATAGTTTCCTGTTGATGTATTGAATACTGACAGGTAAACTTATTTTATCATTTACTCTTTTTAATGTTTCAAATTATTGACTACCTGTTGTGAAGTAATATGTAACAAATTAGTCAGTTCTATTAATAGTAAATTGTTGCATAAGTACATTAATTATGTCTGTAACCTGATGATGGCAAAAAGTATTTATTTTGTACAAATATATTACAATAATAATTACTCTATCCTTGTCAGTGCACTTAATTCACTAGTGAATATTAACCATATTGATCAGCCATTTCAGATCAAAATTTAGCTAATAATTACTTGTTAAGTTATTAATTTATTGATTCACTCTTGTCTATGGGGTTAGAGATATCATACTGGCAATTTGATAAATGATTCTTTGTAAAGCTGTGCTTGTCATAAGCATTAACTTCCCTCAATTTAGATTCTTCTGGAATTATCCCTTTTTTCCCTATATATATATATATATATATATATATATATATATATATATATATATATATATATATATATATATATTTGGTTGGATTGATGTGAGTCGTGACACCCAGAGTCACAAACTCCCATCAATCCAACTAAATATCCAATCTCTGATATTGGCGCTTTCTAATAAGTACCATGCATATAATATATGAATAATATATATAATATATTGCACATATATATAATATATTATATATAAACCACACTTTTCACACACATGTGTATATATATATATATTTATATAGTACAACAAAAGGTAGATAATTACAAAATTCACTTGAAGATGAAACAGAACTAATGCTTTTAATTTAATTATATAATTGAATTTTAAGTTGTTAGTTTCTGTTTTTAAAACATGGTAATTCCTGTGTATTGATGAAACCATGTTTTTAAATCAGTTAATTTATAATATTTATGCTCTGTAAATTTACATTGAGCACTGTTTTGTAAAAATAAAAACATCAATTAGAACACTGGATTACATATCTTACTGTTCTTTCATTTTTACTATAATATATATATATATATATATATATATATTCTCTTTTACTTGTATTATTTGCTCTTAGCCCCGTTGTGGACTAGTCTGTTTATTAAATCCTTTGTTAAGGTACTTCTTTAATTTAGTTCCTTATTACAGTACTTCTATTGTTGTGTGTGTTTTTTTTTATGAAAAAAAAAAAAAAAAACAGTTTTGTGCATTTTATTTGTTTCTCATTTCAGCTTTGCTTCTAAAAGACCTTTTGCAATTGATCAAGCTACAGACAATCTTGTAAGTTTATAAAAAATCTTTCCACCATCAAAATTGGAAGTGTTATTTCTCTGCCATGATCTCCACCTATAAGACCTGAACTGAAATTTTAATTTTTTAATTAAATAATCTGTTCATATGGTGTATTGAGTCATCAGAAGTTCAGGGTCAAAAATAGAAATGTTTTGAGAACAGATTTAATGACTAACTATTATATAATCCTAAATTTATTTATATATATCTATATAATAAAGGCGAATGTCAGTGTGTCACACTTTTTCAATAGCCCAATATATCATACCATTTTTGAATCAAACTGACTCTGAGCAAATTAAAAACATTCCAGGCCAGATCCAGACCTGCAATCCTGAAATTTTGGATTCTCAAGTTTTCATTACTGCGATTGTTTTTGTTAATTTTTTTTTTTTTTGTGATTTGTTTGCAACAAATTATTTTTTGTATAATAACAATTTTTATAACTTGTAAATAATTTGATAATAACTGAAATTGATTGCAAAAGTCACTCATGAAATAAAAATAATTGTTTGCACAGAAAATAAAGAGCTACGTACATGAAATTGTCTTTAAATTAAGTGGTGGCAGAAGAATTATTGTTGAACTTTTAAAAGGGAGGCTTAAATATTAATGCAATACTTAAATGCAGTGATCAATTTTGCGTTCTTCTGTAGTTTATTGTTGTCTGTTGCATATCTTCTCCTCCCTACCTATTGTTATAAAGGCCCAATCAAGAGCCCTCTGCAGGAGCTGGCTTAAATGCCTCCAGATAATGCAGCTTTTAAGCTACTATATATACACACACACACACACACACACACACACACATATATATATATATATATATATATATATATATATATATATATATATAAGACTATCTGGATAAGAACTCAGGTTTTGGCAAGCTGTCAGTCAATTGCACCAACAGTTCTTGTTTTGTTTTTTTTTTTTTTTTTTTTTTTTTTTTTTAGCAGTAATAGTTCCTGATAGTATGATGGTAGAGTGCTGTAGTACCTTAAAGTAAAACTTTAGCATTAACAATATGGAAGAAGTGGACTTTGAATACACTTTTAAAAGTATACCTGTACCAAGCTAGTATAAATTTAAAATAAGGCTAATCAAGAAAATTAAAGAAGTTATTAAAAAGATGAGGTGGGAGGGTTTTTTTTCACAAACAAAGATTCTAATGAAACAACTAAAAAAAAAAATACCCCCCTCCCCCAAAAAACTGTAGAAATTCAAGGAAAAGATTTTTAATATAGTAAATAAGTTCGTCTAGAGAGGTTAGTAATAAATTACAAAATTGATTAAAAGAAGATGCGAAAAAGATAAAAAATCAAATAACACTAGAGAAATCCCCCCAAATTTTATATTCTAAGGAAGGACACTTACGAAAAGTTGCTAATTGAAGCTATAACTGATAAATATAAGAGGGCACCCCCTTTCCATATTTAGAGAAAAACATAAACAACATAGATGAAAGTGTAGGCTAATTAACCCACCCAAAAACCAAGTAGGAAAAATTAGTAAAGCAATTTTGGAAAAGTTGTGTATTAGAACTCGGAAGTATATTAGGTGTTAACCAGTGGCAAAATACTAAAGCAGCCATTAATTGGTTCAATAATATAGAAGAAAAGAAAGCATATAGATTCCTGCAATTTGATATAAATGAATTCTATCCATCCATTTCTGAAGATCTGTTAAATAAGGCAATAAATTTAACTCACAAATTTGTAATTTTATGTGAAGAAGAGAAAAAAAAAATCATAACCCACTGTCAGAAATCCGTATTGTACCATTGGATTTGGACAAAGAAAGATAGTCAGAATTGGTATCTATAATGCAGAAGTATCTGAACTGGTAGGAATATTTTTATTATGGAAACTATAATATAAATACAGTAAACAAACAGTATACCTATACAGAGATGATGGACTAACGATAATAAAAAGTAATAGGGTAAAGGACAGGCACTGAAAAGACTTTTTTAGTGCATTTTAAAGAGTACAGGCCCAGAATAGAAGTAGAATCAAACCTTATAGAAGTGAACTATGTAGATGTGAATTTAAATATATCTACAGAGGAATATAAACCATACAGGAAATGTTCCATTTTACATAAGCACTAAGTCTAATCACCCTACTGTCGTCACAAAACACCTATATAAGTCAAAATTAAGAGCATCTATCAAGAAGCATTGGAAAAAAAGTGGACCAAAAGTGAACTGAAATCTAACAAACAACAGCAAAACAGTAATAAAAAGAAGTAGAAAAATAATATGGTTTAATTCACTTTATAGTAAATTGGTAAAGTCTAATATCAGAAAAATATTTCTAAAATAAATTAGAAAAAAACATTTTGCTATTTCTGAAAAAATGAAACTATTCAATAAAAATAACATTAAAGTAAATTGGGGTAAAAATAATTGAAAAATCATAAAAAGTTGCTCAATAACAGATTGTAAACAAAACAAAGCTAGATGCAACTGTAGAGTAAAAAGTGCCTGTCCCATGGAAGGTAATTGCTTAATGGAAAATATTGTTTATTTGGTTAAAACAGAGGCAAAAAAGATAATAATCAAGCTAAAGAAGGAAAATATACATAGGTGCTGCTGAAAATGAGTGGAAAAAAGGTACAGTAATCATAAACTGAGTTTTAAACAGTAAATACGAAAATGCTACTACACTGTCAGCATATTAATGGAAGATTAAAAGAGAAGTAGGTAAATCCCCTAAAATTCCCTGAAGTATATAAAAAAATAGTACTACTAGTAAAAACACTAGGGATAGATATTACTTTGCTTGGAATAAAAATTTGTGATACTAAGTTTGAGCAATAATAACAGGACACTTGATAAAAAAAACAAAAAAAACAGAGCTAATTAGATTAGTTATGTAGACATAATATAAAACACCTATTGTGTCTCACCTACCACTGGACTCCTGTATTGGTTTATTGGTAAATTTTTTTTCTACTGAACCCAAACCTGCTGTACAATAGTTAGTAGTTTAGCCCACCCACGGGGTTTTTTCATTGCCTATTTCCTTTTTTCCTCTCTGTGTAAGTGTGGTTATCCACAGGATTTTTTTTTTTATTTTATTTTATTTCTTTTTGCCCATGCCGCTTTAAGTGATCACAGGTTATATAAAACCTGCCTCTACCTTCTTTCATTTCCATTTAAGTCATCTGAAGATCACATTGCAGGAAACTCTAGTCACAACTAGACCCTTCCTTTATTGGATTTAACGTTGGTAAGCATCTTTTTGCTCAGTCTAGGTAATATAGGCTTTGAGCCCTTTACTGTGTATAAAGGTTTGCTATCTGTCCTTTTTTTCTCTTTCTTTTTTCAGTATTGTCTTTATTCAAGCCTGTATCTGGATAAGAGTTTAGGTTTTGGCAAGCTGTCTGTTGGTTTCACCTGCAGTTTTTGTTTTTCTTTGTGTGTGTACCTCTAAAAGTTTGCTATAAAAAAGCAAACCATGATGAAAAAATGGCCCCAAACTTGATAAAAACAAAGTTTTATTCTCAAAATGTTCATTATTAATTAAGAGGAAAGACCAAAATATTTTTTGATTATTTTTTTTTTTAATCCTTTCTAGCATGTTAAAAATTTTGTTTTTCTTTCATCAACAGATGAGCTAAAAAAGATTAGTAGGGGAAATTTAGCATCTTTATTGCAGTAAAAAGCACATTGTTTTGGAAATTCTCACAAAAATCAAATAATTGTCAGATCTTAATGAAATTTTCAGGATTTATTCACAAATGAATTAAATTATTTTTTTATTTTTTTTTTTTTTTTTTTTTTTTTACATCTGTTACTCCCACTTATTTTATAAAATTTCAAGAAATTAAAATTCCACCCTCTTCATATTTATATTAGCAGGACTCCTTGGAGGATTTAAATTAGCAATTTGTTTTTGTCAAACAGAAACACCATTTACTAAAAAATTGCTTTGAATCATAAAATAAAAAAAGCAATAAAACTATGATATTAATTAGAAAAGCTTTTAATCACTTTTATAAATAAGTTACCTTCTACACCCGTGCAACATGCAATGTTTATTTTAAATACAGCTGTGCTTTTTTGCTACAGTAAATGGATATATAGTTTGATCAATGGTATACACTAATTTTGTATCTTGTGTATGATGCAACTCCCTTAAAATCAGCTTCAAAATTAGGTCTTCAAACAAAAGTTTCATATGTGAGTATATACAGTATATTACGGACACTATTGTCTAAGAAAAAAAACTTTGATTAACAATGAATTTTTTACAAGATTTGTTTTCATTTTTTTTTTTTTAATTTTATTTAGAATAATTTAAGTTTATAATTTATGTTTGAAATATTTTTTAATTCTTTTTTAATTCCATTCTTTTAGATGATATTATTAATTAACAAGTATATTTACTAACCATAAATCAAAAAGCTTAATACAAATCATCAAATACAAATATTTTAAAAAGAATTTTGAATTTTTTTTTTTTTTTGTATGTGTATAAACATACTGATTTTTGCAGATATGAGCATCTATACACAACATTATCGGAAAATATGAGTAATTTGTATTAAATTAAAAGATGAAATTTTTAAAATTCAATAAAACATTATGGAGAATAATTTCCTAAATTTTTAAGACTACCAAGTACTTAAGTTATATATAAAAGGTGCTCACATTATAATATTTTTAACAGCTAAAGCCCCTATAGAACAACATTAGATAAACAACCATTTGTCATCAAGCTGTAAAACACATCAACAACTTAAATAAACAGCTACTGCTGTATTAAAAAATGCATTTTTGCAATATTTTAAACTGAAAGTAAATAATATTGGTGCTTCATATAAGTTAATTCTACTTTATATCAACTAATATTTCTCAAATAGAGTTTAAGAAAGTATATTTTATTTTTGGAAGATTTTTTTTTTTTTAATAAAGCAAATTATATTGTGAAGAAAGATAAAAAAAAAGGTGCTAATCAGCTATTTTAGCAAAAAAAAAAAATCCTTCCAGTCTATTTAAATTAGTTTTTGAAATACAGTAAGGTATCTTACCTATTGGATATAATAAATTTAGTCTATTAGTTTAAAATTAAAACTAAAATAAAAGCTTTCATGTTTTCTGTGGTAGTACCTAATATATATATATTGTCATCCACAGACAGACTGTTTTGTTGTATCATCAGAGAGCTCATCAGTGTGGCTAGATGTCCAGTTACCTCTAGCTTGGATTGAAACCTGGCTCAATTGCCGTCTATCAGAGTATTTGCCCCTAAGCCATTGGCGAACAGCAGAGATGAATGTGAATTTAAGCGTATTTATTTTTAGATAAACATGCCAGTGACTGAGAGAACTCAATTCATTTTATTGAAGAGTATTGCATTAGTAGCAGCAATAGTCACTGTTTACAAACTCACACTTTCTTTCCAGAGCGCTCAACCAAAATATGTTAATATCGACACTGTCTGTCTGTCCAATATTTAAGTTTTTCCAACTTTTGTTAAACTTTCTAAAAGTTCATTTGATTTCAAGTACTTTCAACTCACTACAGTCATTATCCAGAATTGTGTTTTTAGTCTGTTTATGAAAATGTGTTTGGCTAGTTTGCTAGAATTAATTTCAAGTCACTTAAAAGTGACTTTATTTATAACAGTTAAACTGAATGTTTCCTTCATTTTATTTATATTATAATGCAATCTTTTAAATATCTTTTTAGGTATTTCAGAAGGCATGCTCAAAGGAAAATTTGATAAAAAAATATGGAAAAAAAGTGGTCCGACTTAGTACAGCCAATACTTATTCTTATAAAAAAGGTATGTCATCTACTAAATTTAAAATATTTACATGCATATTACTTTAAGAAAATCTTTTTAAATATTTGCATATAAAGATACTTAAGAAAGTGTGATAGAAAACTCATCTCATAGACTGATCATTGCTGGGAGCTTCATTACTATAACTTTGTACCAAATTTAACTAAGCTTAGTGTGCATATAGACAGTGTGGACATAGGGATTAATGCTGCATGATGACAGTCTTTCATGCTTAAACACATGTAATCTTCAGGTCTGAAGATTGAATTCAAACATGAAAAACTGTCTCCACTTGGTGTCCACTCATACATATGGATTAGAGTCCGATAGAATGATGGGATGAGGAACAAATAAGAAACTTCACTTTTATTTAAGCTTCACCAGAAAATGAAATCCGGAGGAGAAAAGATTATTATTTTTGTGCTATTTATTTTTCATTAGTTAAGTAAACATCATGTGTATTTGTCTTGTTGAGCAATGTCCATGTTTATAATTCTTGTGTATTTGTGTATCATAATATCTATGTGAGATTTGGTGATACGAGTTTGTTTCTAGTGACCATTTTTATTTATGTCTTTTAGTTGTCTGTATGTATTGGGGGATGTTTTGTGTGAGTGAAAGAATTTAGGTTACACTGGTTGTGGTTGTAGGTAGACAGATCTTAAAGTATGGATTTTATAAAATTAGAATGGAAGTACTAAGTGAAACTATAATCTTCATTTTTGTTCTTTCCTGCCTGTTCAGCTGCTATATCTCAAGGCTCAAGGGAATTATTTCTAGCTATACCAGAGCGACAGGTCTGATTATAACAAATGTCTCTTTGTCACCACTGAGTGTAAGTGTCTCCTCACTTTTACCCCTGTTAACTATAGATTTAAGGTCATTTTGGACATCAGCTGCCATTTTGATCTTGTTAGACTTATAAGCCTTATTATCAAGGCAGGAGTAAATTATGTTGTCAGCATAGATACCAAATTGAGAGCTGATGTCATCAGGAAGGTCATTGATGAAAATTAAAAATAGTGTTGTAGGGAGAAAATTTTCCTACAAGTTTGGACTTGGCTGTTTGACGAAAGACATAAAAATACTCTTACTTCAAGAGAAGTAGCAGGAGGAGCAGTAGCCTTTGCTGAAAATAGTTAGTCATTCATGGCTAAACATTCTCTCCCCTAGTTTCTGTTCTATGTTATGTTTCCCTGCACCAAAAAGGTAATAAACTTGTTATTAAACCAATTCCGGTTTTCTAATGTTGTTTTTGATAACTTAGGAACAAGGATGGAACTCTAGGGGACACCTATATTAGTATGAAAAAATCTAGACAAGTGGCCATTTAGGATAACTCATTTCATTTGACAAGAAAGAGTGGATCAATTCAAAAAAGTGTCCAGAGACACCGTAACTCTTCAGCTTGTGGATAAAACGTGAATGCCAGACCCTGTCAAAGGCTTTTGAGATGTCCAATTTAAAGTGTTGTCATTTACTGCGGATAAAGCAGAATGCTTTGCGCAGAAATTCTCTTCCAACTCCACTCTCAACTCTTCTAGAGTATCTCTGTCTGATTTTCCCCCAGAACAGTGTATCTACTGAGTGATAGGCACATAACTCTGTCCATGGTCTCTGGTATCAATTCTAAATTTGATCCCCACAAGCTTTGCAGATTTGATGCTATCCCTGCAATTATCCTAAAGAATGGTGCTCCTGAACTGGCTCCTGTTCACTCCAAACCTTACAATAAATGCCTTGCTGCTTCTTACTTTCCAGCTTGTTGGAAGTCATCCTCTGTTGTTCCTGTTCTTTAAGAACTCTGAGGAACTTTCTGCCCACTCGAATTATTGCCCTATTAGTATCTAACATGTTTTTTTTTTTTTTCATGAACTACTAGAATCTCTAATCAATACTAAATTGGTTAAGCACCTTATTTCACACAGCCTCCTTTTTGGATAAACAATATGGCTTCTGTTTTTTTTTTTTTTTTTTTTTCCCAGGTCTACTGTTGATATGTTAATGGGTTTCCCTGAATTTTTATATCAGACTTTAGATTAGCCCAACAAAGCTTGGGCTGTGACCTTAGATATCTCAAAAGCATTCAACAGGGTTTGGCATGCTGGCCTTCTCCACAAGCTCAAGGTCTATGGTGTCATGGGATGAATATTTGCCTTAATTTAATCATTACTAACAAATCATGTTCATAGATCATATCACATTAATGGAGATGTCCCCAGAGGTCTATCCTTGGACCTACGTTGTTTATTATCTTTATCAATGACCTTCCCAATGTCATCAGTTCCAAAGTAAGTATTTTTATACAGATGACACAATTATTTACTCCTGTGACAATTTTTTTCATAACAATCCATCTTGTACATTTATAAATTTACCATTCGTCTGTGCATTGAATACTGCTACCATATCTGGTCTGCTGCTTCTATTATATATCTAGAGATTCTTGACAAAATTTAAGAATGCCTGACTTGACATCTTGACTTTCTCACCAACATGACATAGCTTCCCTCTGTCTTTTTTTACAAATATTTTCATGGCAATTTTTCTGATGAGCTTTTCTTCATGGTGCCTCAACAGCATGAATTTAAGCGTGCTACTAGATTGGCAACTAGGTCTCACTGTTTTACTGTTACACTAGCTAGAGGTACTTGTATTTTCTATTCTAATAATTTCTTTTCTAGTATTTCTCACCTGTGAAACTCCCTTCTGTTTTATTCCTTCCCTGACACCTACAATCGTCAAAAGTTTAAATGTAATGCCAATCGCCATCTTTTTTTCTTAATTTCTGTTCTTTTTACTGTTGAACTAGCTAGATGCAATCGTCTGTTCTATTCTAATAGTTTCTTTTCCTGTACTTCTTGCCTGTGGAACTCCCTTCTGATTTCTTACTTTCCTGCCACCTATGATCTTCAAATGTTTAAATCGCTGTCTTCTGTCTTTCTGAACCCTGTTTCTTTATTGTCATTTCTCCTCAGTTCAGCCTTCTCGTTCTCTTTCACTCGCTGTAAACCCTTGGGTTCTCTTGGCATTATCACCTTGCTTTGGGGTGAAATTATTAAAAAAAAAAAAAAAAAAATTGTCATGCAACTTACTAAGTATTTTTTTTTAATAACTATTTCGTTTACTTGAGTTATCTCCCTTGACAACTAGCGATTCCGTTACAAGGGAGCTAACTCGGATGTAAACTACTGAAATGTTTATGAAGCTTAAACGTAAAAGCAAAATACGACTATTCTAATTGGCGTAGGGGGATATGCCGTCATTTTTCAAGTATGGTTAAATCATGGAGTCATTTCCTCATAAACGCTTAAAAATTTTTAACACTTTTTTTGTTGTTTGTTTTTAAATGTAATGTTCTTTCTTTATTACCTGTGAATTACTATGACTTCTTGGATACTCTGATGTATTTCAAATAGAAATTATAGAAATTGGAATCACAATTTTTCTTATCACTTTCTGAAAATTGATATATACTGGCCGTTTTAACACATTTGTAAACAAAAGTTAATTCTCAGTTTTAAAAATCTTCCAAAAATAAAATGTATATTTGTGACATGTTATTTGAGGAAAGTTAGCAAATTTAAAGTTAATCTCATTTGAAACAAATATTACTTATTGCATAAAACATAGTATGCAAGCATATCTTAACCATGGGGTCTTGTTTTACTGACCTGTTATGACGTCACACTCCACCCATGATCACTAGGCAAATCCATAGTTGATCTCTATGGCCAGCCTTTGAGTTGGTTTTCCCTGATCCTCAATCCCACCCTGCTCATGTTGTGTTTGTTTTAGATCACAAGGTGGGTGAAACCAAGTCGTATATCCAATGTCACTGATCCAGCAGCTTTGGTGAGATGACGCCACAAGGAACAAAGTAAGAGTCAGCTTTGTAACACAAAAACCTTATATCAAAGGTTCATACAATGAATGTTCTACTCACTAAATTAACAACATGCAGATTTTCAGCACTGTCCCTCTTAATACCCATGACACTGTTTAGCCACGCTCAGTAAACTGGTACAAGGCTAAAGTCTGATTTCTTCAGGTCGACTATTAATTGGTAGCAAGTGGAACAAGGCCGGAGTTAAAGTTCTTTCTTTCTGCGATTTCTTCAGGCTGACCCTTCAGTTATATCATGTAGTCTGAAACAAGGCCAAAGTCTGAGTTCTTTCTGCAGAAGTTGTGTGAGGTTTGGCAAAGCAGGTCTTGAACCAACTGGCAATGCACCTCTCTTGTAAACAGCACCCTGAACTGTCTGGTTTCTTCTTCACTGTCTCTCACTTTACTCATCTGTATTTATGGACCCTTGTGCAGACCTAGTGCAGGGCATGAGGTAGTTGGAGTTTCTTTAGGAACCTTCAACATCTATACAGCCTTTTGTTGTCTGGTCTTGAGGAAATTGATTGCCTGATCAAATTTGGAGAGATCCCTCCCCAAAATATTGGTGGTGGCAGAATATCGATCTGGCTAACTCCTTCCATCTTGTGTGGGTGCCTCTCACCATCACTTCCCCAAGGGTGCAGGCGATTCTTCTGCCTTCCTTGAAATTCCACCTGGGCCTTTACCGCTCATTTGTCTCCTGATCGAACCTGTTCCCAGAGGCTAGTCATGGTTTAACCCAAATTGCTAAATCCAATTATCATTCAAAATTTTCATCAGCCGGGAATTCTTATCATGACCTTGTGGGACAGTTTCTTCTAGGATATATCATCTGTCGCCTTCTCTCGCCAGTTCTTTCATCAACAGATAACATTAAGGGAGACAATTCCTTTGTTTAATGAATAATAAAAAGTTAAAATAATTACACAAAAAAAATATGGAAACAAATTCAAGATAATAGAAAATTTAAAAAATACATATAGTGTTTTTACTTTTTAATTCTGAGAATTTCAAAATGCTTACATGGCTAAAAAATGCATTCTGATGCAATTATGACATATTTTTAATTTTAAAATATCTTTGCAAATACAAATCATACAATGATAATTTTTGTGCAAAAAGGTGGGTTGGATGATACTGAGTCTTTATATATATTTATTTTGTCGTTAATTATTGTTAATTATTATTACAATTCGGAGCATATCTTGTGGAATTTGGTAGTTGCTTGAGTAAAAAAATAATGGATGATACGATGCTTGTATGGGGAGGAGAAATAAGCAGACTCTAAAATTACCGATTGAATCTACAGACTGTTAAGGATTACTCAGACCTTCCAAAGTTTACACAAAAGATATTGTGCCTTGGGAACTTTTGCAGTAATCATAATTTTATTTGTAAATATGTAACATTTATGAGGATAATGTACGGATATCTTTCCTTAGGTGTTTATAAATTGTACACTGTTCAATTATTAACGTTAACAACTATTTTAAATTAAAAAATTGTACTTGGGTTAAACGAAAATTACTTACAATATAATATATATTACTTATAATACATTCCTTCTTGCCGTCAGTTTTGACTGCACAGATACACTAGTTATAATAATAAAGTTAACAGTTGCGAATATGAACATGATCTATTATTTATAATGTAGTATAATCTATTAATTTGTTTGTTTTTCAGTTGATGTTCCGTTGCAAGAATATATTGCACATTATATGAAGCCTCAAAGATTAAACACACCTGGTAATGGTAAGTTATTAAAGGGATTTTTTAATTAATTTCTATAATTTTTTTTTTTTTTTTTTTTTTAGAAGAAGAAGAAAAGAAATGCTTGGACATGTTTATCTTTTGTGTTTAACACCCACAGAGCCCAACTGTAGTTTATACTGCACCCACACTGAGTGGATCTTAGTTACAGTTCCTGTGAAGGAGTGTGTCATCTGGTGTGATCAACAAATTGCACAAAGCCAGTACACTCTCTCAGGCATGATGACTTCTTGTGACTTTGTGCTAGCACAATTATCAATGAACAAATCAGTCTACCCAATTTCACTTACAAGGCTTGAGTCAACCCATGGCAGGGTTTTCAGGCACTTTCAAAGGCCAATAACATCAAGAAGTTACCTTCCTGACAAATCGAGCATAGTGAGATTCGAACCCATGTCTTGTGGTCAGAAAGCAAATGTTCTAACCATACAGCCACTTGTATAGAAATATATATATATATATATGTATGTATGTATGTGTGTGTGTGTGTGTATATATATATATACATACATACACAGTGGAGTAGGGATAGTGGCTTGGATTGAGGAATTGGAGAGCAGAGTTCAAATTCCAGTTGAATCCATTACATTCACTTACATGCTAATACCCTTGGGAAAGGGATTAATCCTCATCTTCTCCCTCCAGTTTTGGGTAAATAGCAGGACTGGCTGGGTTCTATAGCCTTGGATGGCAACTGGTCAAGGAGAAGGTCAACTCTGAATTCAAAACCTGCAGAGGTGCCACAAGGTCGTTTAGGGACCTTGTGGCATGTAGGTCTCTGTATACGGCCCAAAAAGTGTGGTTGGTTCTGCACAAAACCTTTACCACTATAATGAAGTCATACATGCTGGTATCTGGACTGATCTACTTGACCCTCATTGTCAAATACGATGGGAGAGTCCACCATACACACGCATGATTTTTGCGTGTTAACCTTGTAGGCTCTCACAGCCTCACCATGCTAGGGGTTGCTGCTATGATTTCTGTAGCAAGTAAATTAATTTATAGGATTGGTTGCCAATCAAAGTTAATGAGTCTTGTTTGTCTTTCTATTAACCCTTAGCTTGAGAGAGAAGAGATGAAGTTATAATTTTCTAAGGGTTTTTGTGTGAAAGTGAATACCATGTTTTCAGCAGAAAGAAATGGCAACCTACTGCAAGAAAAAGATCATAGCTGAATAGCAAGATACGTTGTTAAAGAATTTGCAATAAGTTTACTTCAATCTATGTAAATGTCGCTAAAATACATCATGAGTAAAAATATTCCAGACAGGTGCAGGCAAGTTAGTGTGTGATTCTATCTGAGGGTGGATCACATAATTCAATTAGCCTAGAGAGCCATAAAAGAATATAATCCAGCCCTGTTCAACATACATTTTTATTGGTAATATAATATTCCATTTTTCTTTTAAGATATTTATTGATCACTAGTAAAAGTAGGAGTGTAATGCAATAATCCGTTTTTTTTTGGGGGGGGGGTGTGTGTGTTTTTTTTCACTTGTAACACTAACTACTTTTTTATTTGTAAGTTCAAATTGTGAAACATGAAGTTAAAATATGCTTACATGATTTACCTCCCTTATGACATAAGATTTGAGTCATGTGTTATCAATTTTAGTATCTGGGAAGTGTTTTTTTATAGTGGACAGAAAGTGTGATAATGAAATCCAAGCGTGCATTGATAGGCCTTCCACAGGCCAGGCAAAGTAGTAAGAAACAGAAAAAAATAATTCAAAACAAAAAAAGAATGCTGAGCTGTTCTGTAAAATCAGTCCTCCTATATGACAGTGAATGCTGGACAATCTCTTCACAGCTGAAGAAGACACTTGCAGCAACAGAAATGTGCTTCTGTAGAAGGATGCTTAGAATACCATGGATGGAACATATAAACAATGAGAAAGTTTTAGAGCAAATGGAAACAAAATGTATGCTTATACTTAACATCAGGAAGAGACAATTCTTTTTTCTAGGGCACATAATGAGGAAAGAGGGCTGGGAAAATTTGATATTCATAGATCAGACTGAAGGCAAAAGGGACAGAAAAACAACATATGACCTACTTAGTGAGCTTGAGGAAATGGATGGCAGAACAAAGTTTAGGAGAGATAACAATAAATAAAATTTATTAAGATTGATTGATTCATTCATTTTCTCTAGTTTATCAACCCTTTGCAGGTTATTTAAAACTGGAAAATATTTATGGATCATAAGATTTTTGAGATAATAACGATTTAGTGATACAGTCTTACTAATTAACCCATAGCTGGGGTCAGAAGAGGTGGGTATTTGTGCATAAGTAAATATAACAAACCTAACTGAAAGTGGAACTTGGCTCTCCAATTGACATTTGAAAGCCATTATCCACTATGCCACCCACACATCTAAGATTACAGCACATGGTATTCCCAAGTGGTCACCCATCTAGTTACTGACTTGCTTAACTTTGGTGATTGTATGGAAAGCAATGTTTCAATGCTATATGGCCATAAGTAAAATTTATTAAGATCTACAAAGGAAAGGAAATTATGGAAAGCCATGAAAACCTGTGTCTTGAAGGGACACTGCATGAAGATCATCAAATGGATTCTCCTACCTTCTTTTATCTTTTTTTCTTTTTAGAAACACTTTATTGGTTTGGTGACAATGATGCCAGCTGGAACACATTCTTCAATATTTATAAACCTCCTCCTTTTGAATTACCTGGTATGGTTGGAGCCTACAGTTTTGGTGCTGCAGGTAAATATCTTTTTTTTTTTACATAGCACAGTGATCAAATGTAACAAGATAAAGATTTGCATTTAAAAATTCTGTCTGGAACTTTTATGTAGTTTCTATCAAAAATGGCTTTCACTCCTAAAGAATTTCCAGATCTTAAAGCCAAGCCAAATCTTAAAGCCAAGCCAAGCCAATTTTAACCTGGTCAAGTGTACAGTTAACTGTTATCTTCCACAAGTTATCTGTATAAGTTGTACCTCTTACTCCGTTATTCTCTACCTTAAGTGGCCGGCAAGTCTTGTATAGGATGAACACCATGTTAAAAAAAAAAAAAGTCTACTCTAAAACATAAGAAACTGAATCATTTCCGCCCAACACTTCATCTACATATTTACACTATTTATATTCAGACTATTATCCTCATTTTTGTTGTTATCATCACAGCATTTCAGCTGTTGTGTCCTGTGGCCTTCCTCAGGTGTATATTGATCTGGGTAACCTACAGGTAATTCTGAATTGAACCCTTTATTTAATCTATGGGGGTAGACTTTTCTCATTCCACTGCTCAAGTCTTGGGATATTGTCTAGTTCTTATTTTTTAGTACTGTTAAGTACCTAGATTGGTTACACCTGGGGAATACCAGGTGTTTTAAGCTTGGATGTGGGAGTGGCTTAATGGTTAACAGCTCAGAAATGCAAAGAGTCAAGTTTTAATTCCGGCCGGGTTCCTTATAGTCACTTATGTGCAAATTCCCTTGGAAAAGGGGTATGAATTCACCCCTACCACTCCCCCTAGCTATGGGTTAATTAAAGACTTTCATCACTAAATCATTGGAAGATTTTTTTTTTTTTTTTTTTTTTTTTGAGATAACAATCTGAAAATATTTTCTGACTTTAAATAACCTGCAAGGGATTGATAAACCATAAAAAAAAATAAACCAATCAATCAACCTTCCTTTTTTTTTTTTTTTTTTTTTTCCATAAACAACAGAATGAAGATGATGGATTGAATGATTAATGAAATAATTAAAATCTTTTATCTTTGTGGAGTAATTGGCCATGGTTAAGCGTTATTGGCAAAAATGCTCAACAAACAATTGACAAAGTTTCCAATAAACAATAATAAAAAGAATAGGGTAAAATAATCCTAAGCAAACGAGATATATATATTTTTTTTCCTGTGGTTGTTCTTCCAATCTGAAGACAACGTACTGCTCCTGCATCTCATCTGTGAATTCTGAGGTGGCTCTGAAACCCCAAGCTTGAGGTACAGAGTCTGGAACAGTAGGGGCAGTGAAAGTCTGTTGTCACAATCAATGCTGATGATGCCCTGTGGCATTGATCTCTGTCAGCGGTGAGCTTCTGGCGTTGAGGATCCTTGAAGGTGATAGCAGCATCAAGGATTGTGATTCGCTAGTGTGGTCAATCACTGGTGTGCTTCTCTAGTTCTTTGGGTTTGAGCTTGCAACCCTAGAGATTTGCATTCACAATGTCTTTGTACCGCTTCTTTGGACGGCCTTGGTTTCTCTTGCCGTGCAGCAGACATCTTGGCAAGTGGTGCTCCTCATTTTTGTTTTTAGCACTGTTTCATTTGTTGCACACTCTGGCCTGCTTCAAGTGACACAAGTAACTTTCAGGGAATTTCAAATTAAACCCACTATTTAATCTACAGGGGGGGATTAAAGAAAGTGCTCATTTCTCTTTCCGCTGCTTTTTAATAAGTCTTTGCATTCAATTAGTATGCTTTGCATTAAAATTTGAGAAAAGATTTTTAGTGGTCAGAAATATACTAACAGAACAGTGTTATTTTATATATAATAGGATTTTTTTTTTAAATGTTTATCTGAAATTTAGCACAGACTCCATAAAAATATGCTATTTCCCGATTGAATCTTGGAACAGGGGATTGGTGCGTTTCTGTTCATTGAAGCATAACTTAATATGCAAATTAAATTAATTTTTATTTTCTAGTTTATTGTAATGCAATCTGATTGAATCCTTCTGGAGTAATTGGCCATAGTTAAGTGTAATTGGTAAAAATGCTCAACAAACAATAATAAAAAGAATAGGGTAAAATAAATCTAAGTAAACAACGTGGGTGAGGCGAATAAAGAAAACAGCAACCAGCGAGTAAATTCAAATTATCCCAGCTGGTATTTCAACCTTGAGTTCTGTCTCAAAATCACACTAACAGACTGTTCTTGCTGCCAACCGTGAACGTCACTAGAAGAACTGCCCCACTGGGAAAAAAGTAGTTGCTTTTATATTTGTCCATATACCCATAATCCCTTGCGTCTTCATGTGATCCCATAATTCATTGCGTCCATGTCCCATAATGCATTGCATCTTTATTGCATAAAAATGCAATGCAAGTCCCCCCTCATTCTTTTACGTTATCTGGCCGAGGACGGATTACGGCAGAGTGGTAAGTGCTTTTTTCTCCCTCATTTCAACTGCAGTAGCTTTACATGCTAATCAAATACAGGCTCTTTTTTGGCGGGGACAAGGCAAGTCACAACCAGTTGTGCTCGTCCCAGGTTCTGTCTCATGTCCGCCACAGTGGGTAATTCAGTTCACCCATCATTTGCGATGACTGAAATGGATTAAAGTGCTTGCTTTCATCCAGTCCTCTGGTTTACTAACTGAACTGTCGCTAGTGACCTCTTATTCTCTCGGTCTTGTTAGTATGCCGTCATGCCAACAACCCGATCTGCTGTCTTCCTCCCAGATTTGCTATTTATGTCTGCGTCAGGGAAGTAACTAAAATTTGCATACAAGACTTACTTCTCGCCTGCCCAAGACATTTTATAAATTCAAGCTGGTTTGAATTCTTAGTCTTTTTTTATTTCTTATGTACGTCTGCCCGCAATATAGGAATTTCGGAATTTCTCTTTTAATGCCGGTCACGATCTTTCAACAGGACCTGACACGCCAAGCAAATTCACTTTGCAGGAGGTAAATCTTCTCATTCCTCACAAATATATATGCAAGTCAAAAACTAGGCAATGCAACAGTAATAAGAAAAACGTTCCCTAAATAAGAATTGTGCTCGTACATAAATAGAAATACAGTCAAGTGGTTGTAACATTCTGACTTCAAGACAAGAAAAAACAAAAAATATGGTAGATAAGCCTAAGAAGTGGTCCAAATTTATTGGTTAGGAAGAAATCCCAGCATGCATCTGTAAAATTAGTCTGTCAATTTAGTGAGTGGGTGATGTTTTTTAGCAATCATTCCAAGCAAGTTGGAACCAATAATCTTTGAAATGTAGAAAACATGAAGGCCCTAGAATGTACGGGTCCAAATATGTCAGTCACAAGAAAGATGAATAATCCTTTTTTTTTTCTTTTTTTTTTTTTTAAATTGCAGCTGCTGGTACTGGCGTTCCATTTCATTTTCATGGACCAGGATTTGCTGAAATGATATATGGCCGTAAAGTAAGTTTAATATCTTACCAAAATAATTTTTTTTACTTTCTCTTGTATGTCAAATGCAAATGCTAGCATAATTCAATTATTCCCCTTCAATCACCCCCTCATCACTAGCATGATGTTTACTATTTTTCAAATTGTATGCTTATTTATTTGGTATGGCATGCTTATTATTTTTCAAATGGTAGGCTTATTTATTTGGTATGGCATGCTTATTATTTTTCAAATGGTAGGCTTATTTATTTGGTATGGCATGTGTAGTGATACTAGCAAATTAGTATGCATAATTTGCATATGTAGAAGTTAACATTCTTATAAGTGGTCACTGAGAATAACCACCGAGGGTACGAGTCTAGCGACTGATTAGTGCTAACCTCTACTTCACAACAATAGCGTCGCCGATAGGATTTCAATTGTCTCTGGAAGATCCAGAATTTGTCGATACTTGGATTCATTGCTTCTCTGCCACTGCGAGAACAAAAAAGTTGAAAGACAACAAGGAAAAGGGAGGCGAAAATGAAATCACGGATTTATTTTTGGCTACAGCTGGATGCAAGGCGGTAATGAAAGTCTCCACCATGGCATATCCCTTAAATTTGGAAGACCTGACTTTCGAAAAAATAAGTCAGATTATAAAAAAAAATATGAGACCCAAGAAAAGGCTGGTAGTGGCAGAAAGAACGAAATTCATGTCGATGAAACAAGAAATTGACGAACCAATTATAAAATATTTACACCGTCTACAAAATGCAAGTAGATATTGTGAATTTGAGAAACTCTGACAAGACGAACAGGCCATTGAAGAGGACTTGATTCAATTAAGACTAATTGAAGGTATGTCCAATGCGTCACACCGTTGTAAAATATTGGAACAGTTACAAATAGGAATACAGACATACCACCATTATAAAAGTCAACCCACCGAACAAAGATTTGCTGATACATATGCGTTAAACAAGATAAAAAAGTGTTCATATTGTGGACGTGAACACGAAATGAAAAAGGAAAAGTGTCCTGCATTTGGGAAAACTTGTAATAATTGCTTAAAAAAGAACCACTTTCAAGCAGTATGTAAATTAAAAAAGAAAAAAGTTGAAAGAGTTGAAGAAAACAACACCGACAGAAGTTTTTACTGTGGGAAATAAGACTATGGCACAGAAGAAAAACGACATTATAGTAAAGGTTAAAATTAATAACTGCAATTTAGATATGCAAATGGATACTGGGGAGAAGTAACACTGATACCAAAAAAAAATGTTTGGGAACACATTGGTAAGCCACCTTTACGAAAAAAGCAATTTACAACTCCGCCAGTTTGATGGGTCCATTATAAAAATATTAGGATACTTTGAAGGTTCATTGGAGTTAAAAGAAAAATTTGAAGTAATTCCTGTAATTGTTACAGGTTGCAAGAAAAACCATGGCCTTATTGGAAATGACGTGCTTAATATGAATTTTACTAAGATAATTAATGAAATAAAAATGAAAAAAACTGGAAAGTTAAAAAACTATGAAGCAAGTATAAAAATAAAAGAAAATGTTTCCTCCTCTTATTATGAGGCACGAAAATTACCAGTACATTTATTGCCGTTAGTAGTGACAAAACTACGTAAATTAGTAGCATAAGACCTTCTTGAACATGTTCCGCCTGGAGGTAGCAAGTGGGCATCAACGATTGTGGTTTTGAGGAAAACAGATGGTGATTTACGTATTTGTGGAGATTATAAAATAGGAGTAAATCGCAAGATATGCTTGGATTCATATCCCATACCCAATGTGGAACTTGCATTACAAGCACTGGCAGGGACGTCCGTTTTTTCAAAAATAGATTTAAAAACAGCATACCACCAAATACCAATAGATGAAAACTTCAAAGAAGTAACCACGATAAATATACCAATAGGATTACTAAGATGGAAAAGAATGCCATATGGCATAAAAACTGCAAGCGCCATATTTCAAAGGGCCATTGAACAGGTTTTAGGAAAGGTACAAAATATGGTTTGTTACCAAGACGACATATGCATAGGAGCTACTAATGAAAAGGAATTAAAAGAAAAAACTGATTTAGTCTTGAATAGATTAAGAAATGCTGGAATGACAATAAATGAAAAAAAAATGCGTAAGCAATTCTAACAAAATATCTTTTTTAGGTTATTCCATTTCAAAAGAAAGTATATCACCAAACCAAGCATTGATAGAAAAAATATTAAAAGTAGCTACACCTTCAAATAAAAAAGAATTGGAGTCTTTTTGGGGATTGGTAAATTTCTACAGGCGATATTTACCAAAATACACGGACTTGACGGAACCGTTTGCAAATTTAAGGAAAAAGAATGTAGAATTTATCTGGTCAGGCGAACAGCAGAAAGCTTTTGAAACATTAAAAGAAATAATGTCAAAGAAACCTGTAGTGAAAATTTTTGATCCAAAAAGGACATAACACTCACTACAGATGCAAGTGAACATTCAATATCGGGAATATTATCACAAGAAGGACATCCGATAATGTATTTATTGAGAAGGTTAACGAACACTGAATTCAATTACTTGAACATAGAGAAAGAAGCATTGGCTATTGTGTGGACAACTATCAGAGCCCGACAATTTTTAATTGGGAAAAAATTTCTATTGAAGTGATCATAGACCATTAAAGTTTATATTTAACCCAAGGAAAGAATTACCCAAAGTCACGACACCAAGGATTCTACGATGGGCGATAAGATTGATGGCATTTGACTTTGGTATAGAGTATGTCAAAGGAAATTCAATTCCACATGTGGACGCACTATCAAGATTGAGGTTTTACAAGGACTCAAAAGACAAAACAGAGGAAGAATTTGAAGATTCGTTCCTACACTTGATAGAGACTGATGTTTTGTCTTTAGACAGAATGGCTGTGGAAACGAGACATGATCCGGTGCTAAGTAGGATAGTGTCGAGAATAAGAAAAAATTTGTGGAAAAATTGTTCTAGGGCGGAAAGACCTTATAAAGAAATAAGGCAGAAATTAACAATAGAACATGGAGTGATATGCGATGGGGACCTGGTAGTTCCCCCAGAAACACAAAGAAAGCCGATAATAGAAATTGTACATAATGATATACACTGTGGAGTAGCGGCCACACAAAAAAGGATAAAACTAGAAGCTTGGTGGCCAGGTTATTCAAGAGACGTTGAGGATTATGCAAAGAGATGTAAAAAATGTAAAGAAATAAGAAACTTTACACAAGCCAAGTTACATTCATGGCCCAAAGAAGTGGAGCCATGGAGTAGGGTCCATATGGATCATGCATATGTAAATGGAGTGGGACTCTTATTAATATTAGTGAACTCTTTTTCAGGTTGGCCTGAAATAATAAGGGTTGCAAACAAGAAAAGTTCCACTATAAAGCAAATTCTAAGAGTCGTATTCTCTAGAAATGGTGTACCAAAAACCCTGGTATCGGATAATGCACCAGAATTTTGTGAGGAAGAACTTAACGTATGGTTAGAGAAAATAGGGTGTAAACCATATAAAACTCCTCTGTACCACCCTCAATCAAATGGACTAGCAGAAAGGATGGTTCAGACCATAAAGAAGGGGCTGAAAGCATGCTCTCAGCAAAAAGAAAAAGTAGAAGTTTTTCTACCGAGGATGATTTTAAGTTATCGGACCATACCACATGCGGGAAGACTCGAAAGCACATCAGCTTTAATGGGGAGACAGATTAGAGCTCTGCTAACTGTACATGGTAAAAAGGAAGGGAGATCCGGAAGAGTTTTTCAATGCAAAAAGGGCATAATACAGCCATAATAAATAGAGAGAATGGCGATAGTGTGTTGGCCCATGCTGACCAAATAACGACCAGGGTGAAGAGGAAAAGATCAAGATGTCAATGATAATGAGTTGATAGAACAATCATTACCAAGGGAAGGAAACAATGCAGGAGGAAGAGGGACAGAAGGACTCTGAAAGTTCAATGAAGACCAGAAAGGGACACATGTAATACAGCCATAATAAATAGAAAGAATGGCGATAGTGAAGAAAATGGCCCATGCTGACCAAATAAGATGTAGTGACCCAGGGTGAAGAACATTCTTAAAAAGTGGTTACTGAATAACCACAAAATGATGAAGAGATAGTCAATGATTTCATCTGCATGTTTATAATGGAGCTTATTTATTTTGCATGTTTATTATTTTTCAAATAGTTTATTATTTTTCAAACAATCATTACAAACAAGGAAACGTTTATTATTTTTTCAGAGGAAACAATGCAGGAGGAATGTTTATTATTTTTCAAACAGGATGTTTATTAGGACATGAAAGTTCAGATGAAGACCAGTTTATTATTTTGCAAGAGGACACATGTGACTACAGCCTATTTTCAAATGGTAGGGACATTTGGTATGGCATGTTTATTATTTTTCAAATGGGAAAGTAAATGTTTATTATTTTTTGGGATTTGGTATGGCATGTTTATTTTTTTAAGTATGAGAAATATTTTTTCAAAGTAGGCTTAAAATGGCAGAAGAAAAAGTACAAGAGCTACAAGAGGGATAAAGCCCTTGGCTTATTTATTTGGTTTGTTTATTATTTTTCAAATGTGATACTAGCAAATTATTATGCATAATTTGCATATGCAGAAGTGAACATTCTTATTTTTAAGTGGTTACTGAGAATAACCACATGTTTATTATTTTTCAAACTAATTTACATGTTTATTTTTTTCAAAGTCTTATTTATTTGGTATGGCATGTTTATTAGCGACTTATTTATTTGATTAGTATTTTTTTCAAATCCACTTCACAACAGCATGTTTATTATTTTTCAAATGGTAGGCTTATTTATTTGGTATGGCATGTTTATTATTTTTCAAATGGTAGGCTTATTTATTTGGTATGGCATGTTTATTATTTTTCAAATAATTTTTATTTTTCAAATGGTAGGCATGGTATGGCTATTTTTCAAATAATTTTTTATTGCAGCACAATTACTTTTTTTCACATTTATTAAGCTTCTATAAAAATCCTTGGTGAAATGTTTACTTGAACTGGTATGCTTACTTTATAAACAGTAAAATTCACTGCACCATGTCTATTTCAGGTAACACATTTATTTGGTATGCAAGAATACATCTTTCAACAATTTAGGCAAATTTTTATATTGGAGATAATTTTCACTTTTTTTGCCCCCCTCTCTACATTCTATAGTAGGGTTGTTAACATTTGTCACCCTCTTTTGTTTATCCCACAATGAATCAGAACCAGTTGTTCTCACAAAGGTGAAAATTTGCCAAAACCAGTTTTAATGGTGGTGGGGATCTATAGATATCTTTATAAGATGAATTTTAACATGACTTTTCAATTTATTTTTTATAAGTTTTGGAAATGTTTTAATTCTTTGATTTATATCAGTTGAACAATGAAAGCCTAATTTGTTTTCTTTCTCAGAGATGGTTCCTTTATCCACCAGAAATAATTCCTGATTTCCATCCCAACCAAACAACTCTGCAGTGGTTTTTTAATGAATACCCCAAACTCCAAGCAGAAAACAAACCATTTGAATGCACCATTAGTCCTGGACAGGTAAGTAGAAATACAATTTCTAAGAGAATATCATATAAAATGACTTTGTAAAGAAACCTTTTGAAGGATTTTTCACAAATAGAGTACTGCTGTTATATTTGGTTGGTACTTTTCAATCTCATGTCCAAAAGTGTTTTAGTGTCCTTGTGGGTGATAAATTATTTTCCACCCTACAATCCCTCTCTCACAGATAAAATGTCACAAGGCTCTCACTGCACTATTGCTATTTCCATGGAAAGTGCTCAGATGACCTACATTCCTTTGTTCCACCCGTTCTATCCTTCATAACTATGACCAGTCATGCTATGCATATTGTAGTAAACCACCTTCATTCCCTTCGTATTTCATTGGTGCGAAGTAAGTTCTACTCGAGCAGCTTCTTTCTATGAACCACTGCTCTGTAGAACCGATTCTCAAGAGGACGTTTTCCCCAATCAAACTACCATGTTAACCTGTTCAAGTCTGTCTTCCCCATATATCTGTTGTAGAGTAGTTTCACAGTGGAGGCTTGTATTTCACTAAGTCGGTCCTAAAATAGGTTCGAAGTACAAAACGTTAGGAACTTGATATAATAGTTAATGACGCAGAGAAATCTAGTGGTGGTTGCTGATACTTTTAGTATCCGACTAACGGTCGTCCAACATCGACTGACTGACCAACTCACTGAGCGACTGCTACTACTACTCCTACTTATTATAGGTGGGAGAGTCTATTAACTATAAAATAGGTGTGTTCCACTATAACAATATCTGCATAAACAGTGCCTCTTACTTTGTAACCTTCTACCTCGAGTGGCTCCTGAGCCTTGTACAGAGTACCCCAATTTAAGAAAAAAAAAATGTTGCAAGCCATCGAATGTGAAGTAACCTTTAGTCTTGTGTTTATGAATTTTTAAGTCAAATGCTGTATGTGTATTATGAACAAGACTCTTTAAACCAAAAATTTATGAGCCAGTGAGGATAGATGATGATGGTATTCAAACTCCAAGGTTGTAGTTTTTTAGTTTAAGTTTCCTTTTCTCTCAGCTGTTGATGTCTCCTGTTCCTTGAGTCATTCCCTGAATAGATTCAGGCACTGATCCTGCAAAGTTTTATTTCTCATTTATTCTTATTTCCATTATTAGTGCTAATTTTTAATTTAGTTGCAATGGCTCCTTCATGCCCTTGCTACTTTCAGCCATCTTTGCACCTACACCATGCTAGGATTGAAATGGTTTGGGCAAAATTGTGAAGAAAAAAAAATGAGACTGTTTGTAAATAAGTTAGTTAAATCCACAATTATTATGATAATATTTTTGTGCAACTCATTACAAAAGTTTATTAATTCTAGACCAGAGTTTTCAACTGGAGTCCATATGGACCCTGGGGATCTATGTGATATTACTGAGGTCCATGCAAAAAAAATAGCAAATTGGGAGTCCACAGTAATATTTTAGTGCTCCATAGATCAATTTCACTTCAGAACGGTTGTTAAAACTGAAAACTGGAATTTTTACAGTTATCTATGCGATATTAAAATACTAAAAATAGAAAAACAACTTCAAAACGAGCAGAAAACAAAATCAAGTGACATATGTTAGCATCTCTTTAATTCTACCGGATGTTTTAATTGTAAAAGTTGAATAATTACTGAGAAGAATATACAGTGTACATAAATGTTTCATATAATTTAGTTGTTGAATACAAGTTTATTTTCATTAATTTTACTTCAAAATATAGCACATACATTTACTATTTCTCTAATACAATTCCTAAACTTAATTGTTAGTAAACAATAAAATAAGTTTTTTCTTTTTTTTTTCTTTTTTGTACATTATTTACATTATTTGGAATTATTGGAATGTTGAACTCAACCCTTTATTTCGCTTGCTGGAGTAAACTGTTCTAGTTCCACATGCTGTGTCTCATGAATGTCAGTTATCAGTTATCTCCTGTTAATTCCCCTCTCCAAGTTCTCCACTGCCTTAACCAGGTATTGAACTCACACTGTCACTGGATCTAACCAACATTTTTTTTTCTTTTTCATCATCATCATCAAATGGCTATGGGCGTCCACAAAAAACAAAACATTAATAGTAAAAGTGGTCCATAAGTAAAAAAAAAAAAAAAAATTTTGAGAACCACTGGTCTGCAGAAACATGAAGCTCTCTATAGGGAATAACATAGAGAACTTAGTAACTAAGAAAAAGTGATTGTATTGTTAATTTTATCAGAAATTTTTAGAACCAAGATTTATGTTAAAATAAATAATTTGAAACATGAAACCTTTTTGAATTGTGTGGCTTTAATAAAATGTAACTAGCTTATGACAACATCATGATGAAACACCAGTTCTTGTATGATAGTTAAGCAACGTCGAGCCTGGTCAGTACCTACATGGTGAACTGCTTGAGAATACCAGGTGCTATAAGCTCTGATGTGCTAGTGGTGTAATGGATAATGGCTCGGAATTGTTAATCTGAGAGTCAAGTTCCAATTCCCATTGGGTTTGTTATATTCATTTACCTTTGGGAAAGGTAAGAATTCACCTCTTCTTCTCCCATCTATGGGTTAATTAATAAGGAGATTTACTTGACCCCCCCACTGAGTCAGGTTGTGACACAAGGTCAGTTTTTAACGTGGGAACCTAAGTGTTTACACTTGGGCTGCTGGTCTAAGCTGGTCATAGCTTGTCAGAACTGGTCTAAGTTAGTCATAGGTGGTCTTGGCTTGTCATAGTTGGTTCAAGCTGGTCAGAGCCGGTCCAAGCTAGTTGTAGCCATGATACCACCAGAACAGGCACGGAGCCCTGTGCCAGGTAAGTATCATGGGTTAATTAATAAGACTTGTATTACTAAAATTATTATTACCTTAAAAAAAAATTCTTACAGTCCCCAAAAAAACATATCCTGGTTTTAAATAATCTGTGAAGAGATGAAAAGCCATAGAAAACAAATTCTAAGATGAAACACTAAAATTTTTCAATGTTTTTGCCAGTCTTTAAGTTTATTACAAGGTCAATTTTGAGACAAATGCTTATTTTTAAGCTATTCTGAAGCTTTTGTTGAAATCAATGATCAAATCCCTCTTACCTAGCAAAGTAATATTAGACAGCATTATATTTGAATTTTCACATTTTTAGCTGTCTCATATTGGATACAGTATAATTTTTTTTTTTTGTAGATTGTCTTATATCAGGCGGTTGGCAGATATAGTAAATTCAATAAAAATATGATTTATTTCTTATGAAAAATAACAATTGCTGGTTTTAAAAAATGGTTGGGTGCTGTTAAGAATCAAATGAATATTTCTTCCATCTTTCTGATTATATTCTTTTATTTACTGTTTTATAAATGACAGTGTTATTCCAACAAATGATGTTTAACATGGTTGTATTTTTATCATAGGTTTTATTTAATAACAAAGTAATTCTAATTTGTTTGTTTTTTAGTTTTATCCTTTCTTTCTGTTTCAGGCAATTTATTTTCCTGACCGATGGTGGCATGCCACATTGAATATTGACAATGGTGTCTTCATCTCTACATTCCTTGGTCCAAAATAAAAAGAGGACATTTGTTGCTATTTAATTATTATTCTTTAATTGATAATCACATGATTCATAATTAATTCAATAATCTTTATTTATGACACAAAGTTATTATTATTGTTAATATTTTCCCTTTTATTGTTTGATAGTAATGGGGTGATTGAGTTTAATAATCAAATATCAATATGATCATTTTGATCTCACAGTTGTATTATGTTGAATGGCTGATGGCCGTGATTAGCAGCGAAGATGTTGATCCGGGTAAACACTTCTTTATTTACAATGGGGCAACCTTTAGTAATATTGACAAGAAGTGTGTTTTTTTTTATTTATTTATTTTTTTTTTTATCTTGTTTTTTTTTTTGTCAGTAGGAGAGGTAATGGAAGCATTCACTTAGGCATGTCTGCGAGGATTTAGCTTATAAATCAATGTAAATTTAGGATGTTGCTGAATTTAATAGTACAAAATTAAAATGTCCTCGTTAAATATGTTACACAATGGGAAGTAGCATGAAATAAGAGAGATAATTAAAAATTTAATTATCTCCCTTGTTTTCATGCAAATATACTGAAATATGCATAAACCCAAGTCAGTGACTTGCAGCTGTTTTGACCTTAAAAACATCATGTATCATGTTCCATTGAGAGAAATCGAGATTCTCAACAAAATACAAAGAAGACATCTGTAATGTTATCAGTTCTGACGTCTCAATTTCAGTCACTTTCTCACCTGCTGTGATGTCATGTCTCTTTGTCTTTTTTATAACTATTTTCATGTTCAGTTCTAATCATCTCTCTTTCTTGGTACATCGACTGCTTGAATTTCAGCAATCTACTTGATTGACTACAAGGTCTAATCGTTTTACTGTTGAAATAGCTAGTTGTAACATTAGTTCTATTCTAATTTCTTTTCTCGCACTTCTCACCTGTCTTTTTTATTGTCCTTTGTCCTCACTAAAATCTTTTCATTCTCTTCAACTTCCAGTAACCCATTGTGTCTTAATAGCATTATCACCTTGCTTGGAGTGAAATGATTAATGATCTCTGATAGTGTATGGCTGTGCTCAACATCTCAAGTCAAGTTGTTATGGTGCCTCCACAGACTGATGTGTCTGAGGATACAGTCTTGCAGTTCTGTCTGAATGTGGCTTAGGAGTGGACAGGAATAGTGCTGCTGGCACATGTTTTACTGGGGGATGACAGTATAGTGGGTCAGCCAATTTGTATTGGTTATAAATAGAAATAAAAACTGACCCTCTAATATTTTTTTTACAATATCAAATGTAACAAATACAACAACAAGAGAAATAATCAAGTAGAAGAAATTGTGAATTTGTTCAACAATAAATATTTTTTATAAACACAACAAATACATAATATATAATGCAAAAGTTGATAAACACAATAGAGTTCTTTGGTGTGTGTTACTGAAAGAATTTGAGTTACTGTACTGTATGTGTGAAAATGAGAAGGTATAGTTAGCTATATTTGTTGTTATAAGAAAATTAAACAGTTGTTGTTTTTTTGTATTAAATAGAAAAAAGAGTATTGTTCTTGACTCATTGATTGTTATAGAGTTATTGCTCTTTAACCAGAGATTCTTGTGGAATAGAATATTTTGTGGGAGTGAGTGTTAAGCCTGGAAATGGTTGACAAGGTTTGTTGTTGTTCAAGATTTAGTTTGTCTTCTTTGCTGTGTTGATTTCTAATGAAGTCAAGTGAATTGGTTCAATATTTTAAGTGTGCACTGATCAAGTTGCGTCGAAGTTTCGTTTTTATTAGTTCTCTTGGTCACGTGGGGAGGCTCATGAACATGTTTACATTTTGTTTTCAAAATTTGGGTCAGTACCTTCGGACATAGTTGACGACACCTGATTAATATTTTACAACCAATCAAAATGCATCAGTTGTTATATTTGGTTGGGAGCCTCTGTGTTTAACTTGCACAAAATTTAAGATTTAAAAAATGTAGGAATCTGATTCTACAACAGACAATTTGTAAACTTGGAGTAAGATGAAGGAATAGTGTGTGTGCATATGTATCTCTTTGCATTTGGATGTTATGTTGGCATGAGCTGCAGATAGGTGACCATGTCTGCTATAACACAGATTTGTGGTTCTGCAATAGTTCCAGACTCCATAAAATCTTCACATTCTGGACTTAGACTTGTAGGCTTACAATGCTTACAATGGTGAATATTGGGGATTAGTCCATTGATCACATCAGTCCTTTGTCTTGGTTGTGCTCAATTTTATCATCTCTCTTATTTGCTTGTCCCCAAGCTGCTGTTTACAGACAATGGGCGTGTTCACATGGATCTCCCATTCAGCTGGGGATCTAAGATTGGCTGAAAGAGGAGTGGCTGTATATGACATGGTGGCTGAATGACAGGGTCAGTTTCTCATGCTTTCAAAAGCATCCTACAATCGTCTCAGCAAAACCATTATATTGAGGATAGTGTGGTAATGCCATGTCCACAGCTTTTATACCCATCTCTTGAAAGGGGGTGGGGAAGTAAAGGTGGTCGACACACACCTCTTATACTCAGTCCAACACATAATTGTTGAATCTCTTTAGCAGGTGGTGCAAGTTGTGCATGAATGGTTAAGGAGCAACTACTGTTTGCCCCTGCTTAGCTTTGTAGTTCTGCACTGTTTCTTTGTATATGTTCAATTAAATCCCCCTCCGCTGTCATGGATCTATCATCAGCTGTTTGACGAACGATAAGTTCGGGTATTGCATGAATCTCAGATGATAGCATAATACTAAAGTATATTTCAATCCCAGTTTCATTTCCTACTCTGGTTGTTATGGCGCTTGTTACAATCATTATGATTGAAGGAAAGAGAAATTGCTCTTCAAGTGCATCTAACTCCTCAGGAGAGTACATGCCTAGGCCACTAATATCAAGTCCATCTTTATGAATCTACTGTACAGACTCCCCCTCATTCGGGTCTAGCATCTTGGGGGCATTAGTATGAAAAGGTCTCTGAGATCTTCCGATCCAGTGATCACCTAACTTGTGTAAAACTGGCAATGCTGCAATACATTTTAGAGACAGTATCCACATATTGGGAGTTAAAAATAAGACTCATTATTGTGGCTGACAGGGATCTGTTGGTAACACCTGTCTGTTTTCCTGGGTTGGACTGGCACTACAGTGTATTGGATAACATAGAGCATCTCCCCCATAACTCTACCGTAAATCTCTTCAACTCCTCCTAAGAGTTGCTCTATATAATCAGGGTCTACCTGAGCTAATGCTATTCTATTTTCTAAGACCATCCTACAGGTATTGCATGACTCTCGAGTGATAGCATAATACATACTCCTGTTGGACATGTATCCTCTTACCTGAGCATACAGAAATTTAGAATTAATGTATTTTGTGAGGTCAACATTCTTTAAGTATATGTTGCTATCCAAGAGAGGTGGCATATGAGACACTCACTTTTTCTCTTTAGAGTACACCTGCTGATTACACACTAGTTCAGGAGCCTTAACTCTCAAGAAGAAGGAAAAACAAATAACTTTAATGGAGATTGAAAATGAGCAAGAGGGGCAAGCTTTATTAGAGAAAAAAATGAACACAGGAAATGAAAACAGAACAAAAGAATAGTGACAATAAAGATGGGATGTTTTCTGTGTAGACATTTGGTCATAGCAACAAATGTGACTGTCATCAACCTGTCCCAGTCATCCAAGATGCACGATGACCACAGCTGGTCACTGAAGTGACGGCTTCAATCAAGGTTATGCCCTATTCAATGTTGTGAATTCAGATCATTGGGCAGTCATGACCGCATTGTCGTCAGGGATCCTTGAATTGGCCGGTCCAAACAGGGTGAAGACACACGAATAGAAAAAAAAATTACTGACACTTGGTTAAAAAAAAAAATAACTTCTGATTTTATATCACTTCTTGGTACAGCAGCTGGTTTAAAATATAAGTGCTCGCATTCAGTCAATTTCTCGTCCCAACCCATTTTTAGTTGGAAATGACATTTGGTGATTTTTGGCAATGTTAGGGTGGCTGGCCTGGTTAGGTGTGACACAAGGCTATCGTCAGAGGTCTCATCAGCAAGCAATCATGTGGATCAGTAAGCTTCCTGGCAACTCTCATGAACTCCCTGGCGAAGAGTGTTGAACTGCCCTTGGGCATTCATATTTATGGACTGACCCAAAACTGGTTTGGGGCAAGATGCAGTTTGGTTTTCAGTGAATCCCCTAATTTCCAACAAGAGTCCTCTTGTCTGGCATCGGGAAATTAATTACTTCGCATTTTGGGGGACATCGCTTCTTTTGTGGGGAGTGGTTGCAGGATATCAATCTACCCAAACTCTTTCCTCCTCTCATTAGCATCTCACACTAATGCCTCCTGCCACTACAGCTACCACCTAACCAATGGGTTCTCAATCGCTTTGGTGTGGTTTAGCTCGTGTCCATTAGTTTTGATTTGATGTGTGACCTATATATTCTGAGCATTACTTTTCGATCAGCACCTGAGTTCAGTTTTGATCTTTTAGAAGTTTCAAAGCCATTTTGTTTAAGGTAATGTACGCTTTGAAGTTAAGTTTGCTATCTAGTATGATTCCTAGTATGATTCCTAGTTATTTTGTTTTTTGGACTATGGGAATTATGTGTCCATTCATTTTTAATTCTGAATCAAGGTGGTAGGCTTGTTTCCTGCAGAAACGCATATAAACAGTTTTTGTTTTGGAACATCGGAATTCACATTCATTTGTCCATTTTTCTATGTTATTTAGACATATTTGTCTATATATCTGAGATGAGATATTATGTACACTATTAACATTGTTCAGACTATTGTCCTCATCTTTGTTGCCATATTTATCACAACATTTAGGCATATTTGTATATATCTTACAAGGGAAGGCATGTTTGGTGGTGAATGATATTGATAGATCATCTACATATAAGGATTTTTCAGCTCCTGTATTAATGGTTTTAATAATACTATTTATTTTGAGAATAAATAGTGTAACTGATAAAA